TAGTACAAAACCATAAAACCAAATAAGAAAATTAAAATAAGGAGTAGAAAACGAAGATTAAATCTGAGGCAAGTGTATTCACTCTCTCCTTAAGACAATATTGCCTCGCTACGGTGCTCACGGTTGGCGGCAATTGTCTCCCAAGATACAACGGATTCGATTTGTGGTAGTAGCACTTCAAACCACAAATCCGGCGAACATTCGACGGAGTTTCCCCTCTACAAGGAATATAATATATGAAAAGAGATGAAGAAGAAGAGAATTGCAATTTTGAGAAGAAAGAATGCTCAATATGCAAATGGTGTACTCTCAAAGTCATCCAAGGGGTCCTTTATATAGAGAATGGAGGGGTGTGATGAAAGGATTTGAGCCAAACCATGCAACCTTCCAAACAGGTGCCACTATTCCAAAACCACAATTTCTCATTCATTTTTGAATTGGTTTATTAATAAACACCATTTCCAACAGTTGGTCCGGCGCCCAATAAACCACCTCGACGTATTCCCCTAGGATCGCGAAGCCGCTCTGTAATCTGTGCACATAAAATTTAAAAACTCAAAATATATAAGTTGAAATACATGCATTTAAATGCATAAATAGAAAGAGATACCTCACGCTTTTGACGGCGCAGTTTCATCGATCTCTTTGCGAAGCTCTTCCTCTGTCTTCTCTGCTACTTCTGTGCTGTCCATTGTGCAAATGTGTGCATGCACTTCCAAAACCCTTGCGATTAATTTTAACAAAAATGATACTTTTACAAAGGAAAATATTTAACTTGATGGGTAGTGGTCGTTTGCGTGGAGGAATAGAGAAAGGGGAAAAATGGGTACTGAAAGAATGGCCTCACCTCTCATGATTTTCGAAATAGAGTTTTAAAAAAAAAAAGAGGAGGTTGACGACAGCCCCTTCCGACACGCGTCCACCTCCTTTTTCCCTCTTTTTTACGGTTTTGCTAGTTGTAGATTATAACGCCCCACTCACATGGACAAAAAACCCATTCGAATAAAATATTATTTCTTTCACACAGATCTCACGCCCATGTGAGTGGGATGTACGCCCTTCGGTACACCTCATTATGCACTACTAGACAAATTCTCTTTTTTAGATGTAGGATAGGATAATCAAATGATTACTACATGAGTATATCATTGAATTAGTTTAATAAAAATATAAATTTACAAAAGTTCAATAAGCCCCTGTTTGGCCCTCATTACGTGGAAAAAATAATGGGTGGAATAGTGTTTTTTTTGAAAAATGAGTGATTGAAAAAAAATGGAAAGTTTTCGATTTACGTATAATATTATTTTATGAAAGATTGTGTGATTGAAAATAGGAGAGAGAAAAATGAAATGTAATGAAATGAAAATTAATAGAGCTCAAACAAGATAATAACCCAAAAAAATGGGAAAAAGAAAAAAAAAAGTACAAATGATAATGTTGTCAAAGACAGAACCCATTGATGAAGAAAACATACATCTGCCTCACTCACATATTCATGTTATATGTAAAGCAGGCTTTTGTCTCTCCATAGCACTTTTCGAGATTCGAGTGTAGTAGTTGATAATAGCAAACCATATTCAAGAAATCGCAAAGAAAAGGCGGAAGATTTGTAGTTTTGCAGTTAAGGCAATGAAATAACTGCCTTGTGAGTAAGGAAATTCGTCAACTTCAAGCATTCGAACAACCTGACTCATTTTGGGTCGTTTTTTCAAGCCATGATCAACACACTTAAGTGCAACTAGAAGTGCACTTTTTAAGGAACGCGTTGTGGGCCTAACTTCAAGGCTTGAGTCCACAATTTCCTCGGTTCCCAACCAGCATTTTGAGCCACTCAACAAGGTTAAACTGCCCTATAAACAATATTGCTGTTGGTAAAACAACTTGCTTGACAAGTCTTGGAAAGTTACAAATGATATGGTACCTGGTTTACTGGACAACTATAGTCCACCGAACCTCTCGTCCAATAACAACTTCTAATTGTAGAATCCAAAACTATAAACATCACTCTTTTCATTTAACAAGCCACTATTTGCATACTCTGGAGCCACGTAACTTTATCACACAATGTGCATCTCACATCATTAGGTTTATTATTATCTTCAACAACTGCAATTTCCCATCCAACATTCCCAATGCTTTTTCATCAACTCATTATCTTCCGAAATATAATTAGATGCCATGAAAGAATCATTTTGCTCCATTGAATCCTTGTAAATTAAAGCAAGAATAAAATTTAATAAAAAATTAGAACCTTCGGAATCATTATAACCTAAATATGGACAAGTTTGATAAATATCAGAATCATGCTTGGTGTACAATGAATTTGACTACATGCCATGTGACATATTGTCATTGGACAGTTTTAAAAATAATTCATCTTTCCCACAATACTTTTTCGACAACTATAAAATTGTCAACAATGTTGTATAAAATTATTGTACAAATAGATTTATCCTAAATATTATTCCCTAAAATTAAAAATCAAAGGAAAAAAAGGAACATTCAAGGTTCTAATTAGATGAGCAATACAAAAATGGAAAATGCATCTTTAAGTTCTACAACTCGATGAAGATCTCAATTGTGAAACTAGAGAAAAACCGAATCGAGCTAGAAGTAAATAGTTTGCAAGCCTATGAAATTTTGTTTTGATTTTTTTACTTTTCTATACATCAAAAACTACACATTGCTATATATAAATCATGGATTGGGATGATTTGGGCTAATTTGATGTTTGTTCGTCTTAAATTGCTTTTTTTAGACTATAAAAATGAGTTAGACTTTGTTAGACTAATTTGGACATAATTTTTAATACAAATACATGCACATTTTAAATTTTAAGCATGCATATGTGATCAATGGAATGGATTGATAACATTATCATGTGCATACCCATATGTGGGGAGTTTCAAAAAGTCCTGAGCATATGCACGCATATACGCACATTTAAGAATACTGACTCGCTCTCGATTGATAAAACAAAAATAGAAAACTGAAGTTCAAAATCTCTTCAGTTGGTCTTGAGTAATCTTTATTCTTCTTTCTTTGATCCCGAAAAGATCCAAATGTTTAAAAAGAACTTAAGAGTTTGTGGTACATTCTGTCTCCAGAAGACATCCCCCATTGAAGTGCAAGAGTTCTTATCTACATATAGGCGTGTTTAAATCCTAAAACTCGTGCCTCGGTGGACCAAATTTCTCTCATCGAGCTAAGTTCGTGACTCCATATCAGTTCTTCGCTCGAGTGGACAACAATTTCGTAAACAACTTGGATGAAAATGCACATAACTTTTTTAAAAGAATTCTTATTAAATTTATGAAATATGATTATATATTGAGATTTTAAAATGGAATTTGCACAAAATTCAATTCAAAAGATAAAGGAAAAATTAGAAAATATCTTCTCTGTCGTCTCTTTGGAATCATCCACGCAGATTTCAGATCAACACACCCAAAGAAAAACCTCAATACATACAAGTTCACTTTTATGTATTTATATATAAATTGAAGCGAGGAAGTAATAATGGGTGCGTATAGAGCGGAAGATGATTTAAAATGACTTTTTCTTCTAATACTTTTTGTTACAGGTTTAGTTATTTGTAAGAGTGTTTTGGGGAATTAAATCTAGTACTAGTAATGAATTATAGGTTTGCTAATCTTTTGAACATAAATTAGTGTCAATTTGTTGCAAATTCTGCTTCAGAGTTCGACTGATCTATATCGAATTAATCCAAAGATTCATTTGCTTTATCCAATTTTTTCCTGTTTAATGGTTTTTATGATGAAGACTTGTGATTCTAATGATCCATTTCTCTGGTATTTGCTGTAATGTGGTTAGATATGAGGTTAAGTTTTGGTCAAATAATCAACTGAATCATGTATGATGACTAAAAATGGAAATGAAATGTAATTCTGTTCAAGTGGAGTTTTAATGCTAGTAACTAATGTGTTTATCTTAAATCAGCAAGCAGTAATGAATGCTAGTGAGGTTTTGACGCTGAGGTAATAAAGAATTAAATCTCGATGTCACTACGATCAGATGTGATGGACCAAACACACTGCTAACGAGAAATCTAATGACTTATGGCTTGAGATATGAAGGCCTACATGAGTGTAAAAAATGAATAACCAGTTAATAATTTTTCTTTTTGAACTCGAACAATTCTATGTTTCCTACGTGCCTTCTCTCATGGTCGTGCTATGATTTGTTACCGGTGAATTTTCAAGTTTGCATGACTTTGTGTTGTAACAACACCACCACCACCACCAACAACAACAACAATCTAAGTGCGGTTTTAATAAATTCGAGATCAACCTTGTGGGTCCTTTTTCACCTCTTCTATCAATTTAGTTGTAGATCTATTGAGACATCTAAAGCAACTAGATCCTTAGCAACTACAAGCAACTGTCTCAATTTTGGCCTATCTTCCTCTCTTGACATGTTCTACTGAATTTGTCACTAGTCTACAAGAACACGTCTTGATTACCGGCGCCATGATTCCCTTATAATCTTCAAGCAGCGCCATCTCCACTTGATGGCATATATACTCATTTTTATATTTTATCCATTATTGCACTTCATTTCTTACCTTATCCACCTCGTGACGTAAATGTTAAAAAATTTTATGGTTTCTTGCTAATGTGCTAATAGCAGGTCGCAACCCCATTATGTTCTTTTTCCGTTTGGTTGGGTTTCTCAAGAACACTTAATACTGTTAAATATGCTAAACTAGAACGAATATGTATGATGTTGTATTGATTCTGAAGTTTTACACGGTACATATGTATACATCAGAACTTGCCTTCATTTCTTTGCATGGATTAGGATGAATGAGTTCTGGCACAGACACTTAAAACTCTGAACCTAGTAGCGCAAGAAGTAAGATATTTATGAAGATTTTTAGCTTATCTCAACTAATTGTAAATCTTGTCTTGTTCTCAAGATATGTGACAAAACTTTTTCATACTCAGATCTTGTGCACTGTTTGTCTCTTGGTTCTTGCATGATTCTTGAAATTCTGTAGCAATTTACCTGACCTACACGGGCGGACCCACATGGGGTCATGTGGGGTCAAATGACCCCCCAGTTTTCTGATTTTTTTTTTTTTTTTTTATGTGCTGGAAACTTAATTTTTTGTTTTTTTTTTGTGCTGAAAACTTAATTTTCTGCCCCAAAAAGTCCAAATTCTAAATCTATATCCATATCACATGGTTCATATCCATTATTTAGTCCATAAATATATCATATAATTCATCGATTTCTTCCCAAAGTGCACATATCGAATATGAACAGTAAACAACCGATTTTTCCCTTTTTTTCATGATACGTTGTTTGAAAAAAAAAAAATTTTGACCCCACAGTTCAAATGGTCTGGGTCCGCCCCTGCTGACCTAGTTGGTGCATTGCCTGTATATGATGTCACTCGTCATGTTACATTTAAGAATGTTGAAAGATGGTTGAAGGAACTCAGAGACCATACAGATTCAAACATTGTCATCAGGCTTGTAGGAAATAAGACAAACTTGCGTAACCGAAGATGCTAAAGAACTTGCTGAAAGAGAAAAATGCCTTTTTCATGGAAACTTCCGCTTTGGAGTCATGGAAGTTGAAAATGCCTTCACCGAGGTGCTTGCTCAGATACATTACGCCGTTAGCAGGAAAGCTCTTGAGGCTAGTGATAATCCCACAGCCTTACCTAAAGGACAGACCATTAATTTCGAGTCAAAGGATGATGTTTCAGCTGTAAAGACAGGTGGGTGCTGCTCTACTTGGCAGAGACCAATCAGTGACAATAATTCTTGTCCTGTGTATACGTTAATGACACGGTCATTTCGCCATTAAAATGCAATTTGCATTTTCTATGGGCCTGTTCATTGGAGAGGTTTTAAGTCACTTTCAAGATCTAAATCACAATTTAGATCTTTTTTATACCACCATCGAACAGTAGATTTTTTGCATGTAGTTTTGCAATGGCCGCAACCTGCAACAGCAAACTTTCGCATATTGTCAGAACTCTGGGATACATTTTCCTGTACAAATTCAACTAAGATCTCTAGATGAAAGAAAGAGACGTGTGTATATACAAAATTTTACATGTAGAATTGTGTGTTTATGCACCTGCAAGAGGAATCGCAAACTGTCAACAATTAAGGAATCTTGTCCTTTCTCTTCTTATAGTCTCGAAGCACTTTTTCACGCTCTGCAGGAGTTGCTGATAGTAACCACTTGCTAAACTCAACCTCTTCCATGCCCATCGACTGAGCAAGGAGGCTATACTGGCTTCTTTTCTGTCTCTTGGCTGAAGCGACTATTTTCACATTCTCCTTTTCTCCTTCCAAATCAGATCTATTCGTCCCCACAGTAGGGTGGAATAGCCGTGTCGCCACAGCGTCCTTCAAATCCATGCCCTGGTTCCCAGCTCCAAAGTTAACAATATCCTCGTTGCGATGAGCATATACAATACCTGAAAAACAAAATGACTCGAATAAATCTTAAGGTCAATTCAATTCACCACATACAAAGTTCTAATGGCATTGTATTAGGCTCGTTAAAATATGGGTAATAAGTAAACCTCACCAAGATCTTTAAGAGCAGGTTCGCCTGTTTTGTCTCTCTCATCGTCCACCAAAAACTTTCTAGCTGTTTCTTTCTTAGGAACAAGATCCATCCCAAGTCGAGGCAAATCGAGCTTCTCCCCGTGGTTGTGTTCATATTCTTTTCCTTGCTTTTCATGCAACTCGATGATCTCACTAGTGAAAAGCTTGTCAGAGAGATCACTGAAAAGATTGCTTATTCCAAACAGCTCGCCTTTAAACTCCTTGCAATCCTGGAAAAAAGAGCACACAGGTCGAACAGAGTGACACAGAAAATAATATAATGAGAAGAAGAAGAGGTAAACTTCTTAACCTGGACTCCTTCAAAGTATCGTTTTTCCATTTTCCCAGAAACAGCAATATTTGATAGCTGCTGTTTATACACTTGGCGTGTGTAGATAAGTTCCTCGAGAGAACCAGCTCCAAGAAGACGGAAAACAGTTACATGCCGCTTTTGACCAAAACGGAATGACCTGTCCTGCGCCTGCAAATCCTGTGCAGGATTCCAGTTTGGATCAAATATCACAACCCGATTTGCACTAACAAGATTGAGCCCTAGCCCACCAGCACGGGTAGATATCAGGAACACCTGATGGCTACATGTTAATTTTCATTTTATTGAAAAATCATGATTTAAGATCAAATTTCAACGCCAAAATTAACCTGCTTGCTTGGACTTGAGTTAAAATTGTCAACAAGAGACTGGCGCAAGCTAGTTGGAGTTGAGCCATCGAGTCTTGAAAAGGAATAGCCTTTGCGTATGATAAACTTTTCAAGTATATTTAACATCCTGCTCAGACAAGCAAACCTCAGTAGGAGAAGGAAATATGTGATAGTACACGATGATGAAGAATCTTGGCAGGTGATATTCATGGTCTCAAACCCAAAACCAAAAAGAATTAAATGAAAAAAAAAAAGGCGCAATCCACCTACAAAATAAATAGTATCTATTCAGATTAAAAAAAAGTCGGTATATATTGCAAGGCCATCATCTATACCTTGCATTCTTGACACTAGAAATAAAGTAACTACATGGAAAGTGGCTTCAAAAAATTATGGAAGGGGCAGAATCCCCAGCCATTGCTCCATTGCTTTATAATAAAAATCAATAAACAACGATAAGTTCTTGTACAAAAATAGGCATTCCATGGGAGAGGAGGTAGCAAGCAAAGAACTTTTGAACTCAAACAAAAAATAAATAAAAACAAAAATGAGAAAGGGAATGGTAACCTTGCTTCTGTTGAATAATTTTAAAATCCTCTCAGAAGACTAGCAAAGAAGTGATAGTAAGATCTAAACTAGAATTCTGCTTTTCAACTGCTATTATACCAGAAATATTGAATCACGTCTTGATAATTCAGAAGAATAATATTAAGCAGCAAAAATGAAGCACCAATGCTGGGACTCCTCATTATCTCCTAAAAACCCCATGGAAAGGATCTCGTGCTTGTAAAGGCAAGCTGAAGCAAGAAATATTTCTAAAATTGGCTCCCAATTTAGTCGATTATTTTGTCTCTATTTATCCACAAAAATAATCTTTGAATAGAGTTCATAAATGTATTCTCTCTCCCCCTCCTCTCTTTTGTTTTTGGTAGAAGCTGGCTTTATTTTCATCTTTTCTTATCTCAATCAAATAAGTTAAACACATTATAATGCATACCTCACAGAATAACTGAAAAGAAGAATCTTGTCACCCAGAGAAATCCAAGAGCTCATCAACCTTTCCAGAGCTCTCATTTTTCCGCAATGTTTAACATCAGTCAGGCCCATGAAACTCTCATTCAGGGCATTTCCTCCCACTAAATCAATGTCTATACCAAATACAGCAGAAGCAAATTCCGCATCCTTTTTTTGTTTGTATGGATCGTCCTTCGGATTGGGTTTGATGAGCTCTAGATGATTGCTAATCTGTAAGATAGCTCAGAAAAGTAAAGATAACATTCGAAAAATGATAAAAAGAAGTATTCTAAGAAGATGTAAGTAGGATTACAGCCAATCTAAAAAACTATTTCAGGCTTCCATATACTTACAAAAAATAAAACTTTGCTCAAACTGGGAACACTAGAAACCAGGGAAATTAATTTCATGACATTGCTTCTTATGTAAACTTTTTATTTTCGTGCTAGAAGCTAGAGATCCGAGGAGAAACAGTGTTAAGACTTATATATCATGTAACTCCCAGCATAATCCTGCATTGTGACAAACATGCTAAATGTGTAGAGGCTTAGCATTAAATTAAATACATCCAATATCCAGATTTCATGAACCTAAACTTGATTTCCAGGTCCTTTAAAATCTTCAATATTTACTTCCTGTGTGATGGATTGCAAAGACTCTTTATTTTACCCTATTTAGATTAACTCTTTATTTACCCTATTCAGATTAACTTTTTGGAAAAATGATAATGATGATACAATTTTAAATTAGGTTTTCAATATGTTACCTTCACTCCAATATGACCGTCTCACACTGAAGAGGAGTAAATATTCAGAAGCATCTCCTTTAAAATCTTCAATATTTACTTCCTGTGTGATGGATTGCAAAGACTCTTTATTTTACCCTATTTAGATTAACTCTTTATTTACCCTATTCAGATTAACTTTTTGGAAAAATGATAATGATGATACAATTTTAAATTAGGTTTTCAATATGTTACCTTCACTCCAATATGACCGTCTCACACTGAAGAGGAGTAAATATTCAGAAGCATCTCCTTTGCCTACTACTCCCCCCATTCGATCTTTTTATATGCTAATTTCTTTCAAATAATATTTTTCATTAGCACTGGACACCAACAAACTTGATTAGAAAACATGTACCAGTCACTACTAAATATTGGAGCATCATGAGATTTAAAAAATCAATCTGAAGGCAGCCAACAAGTCTACAAATAGCATATTGAAAATCAAATACCTGCTGAAGCTTGACAAGGCAAGGGAGAACAAGGCAAAAGGGGCATGAATCACAACCTTCTGGATTATCCTCGTGGAGGTACGGCCAGATGAAACCATTTGGAACAGTCCTCTTGCAACATTCAACTTGATTAAGTGGACTTCCACAACTACATGGCATGTCCTTATTGATAAGGCATTGGAAATCAGGGAGTTGTAACGTCCTTTGGTATACCCGTTTTTGCAACTCACTCATGGCACAGAATACAACATTATCTTCCTTTCCCATCATAAGGTGCCCTATAGTTTCCTCCTTTGTCCTTCTCAACAAATATCTTTGCAAAACTGATACTAAGTGTTGTTTTCGTTTATCAGCAACTCGGATAAATCTTTCAGGAGCACTTGATCTTTGACCATGCTTGAGAGGTTCATCATAAAATTCTCGAAAATGTTCTCGTGTCCCCAAGCAACCAGGTGCTACCCAATCAAATAGATTGAATAATTCCATTATTTTATTCTGCATTATAGTTCCCGTGAGACCATAACGTTTAGGGGTTCTAATTTTCAAACATGCTCTATAGAGTTTTGACTTTTCATTCTTAAGCCGGTGTGCCTCATCAATAATCACAATCTCCCACTGTATCTCTGATAAAATGCTTCCATGGATCCTATAAGTGTCAAAGCTGGTTATAAGTATCTCAACATTATGTGCCTCTAGTTTGTCAATTATCAGGTCACGATTTGGTCCATGGTAAACAGAAACAATAAATGCAGACCATTTGGAAAACTCATTTTCCCAGTTGTGAATAACAGAACTGGGGCAAACTACCAGTACGGGACCCTTATCTTTGCAATTTCCCTTCAGTGGGGCTAAGTCACCTGACTCTCCGTCCTTTCCAAAGACCGCATCTAAGAAAGCAATTGTTTGGATGGTCTTTCCCAGTCCCCTGGCATGTAAATGTGATGAAACAGAAAAGGATGTGAGAAAAAGAAAACAGCATGACTGAAAAATGTGAAAGAACACGAATGAAAGAAAGGTGAATAAGGAAATAATGTGGTTGGTAGACAAACAATGTAGCAAGGTAACAATTCAGTTACAAACATTCATTGAAAAATTTATTAATGGTACAAGCTCAAATATATGTACTTTTTGGAGACAAAGCTCACAAGACAGAACACAAGGTATAATTAATTTGAGAAAGCATTGGCTGCAACCTGGATAGTCCTCATGTATTTTAATGATGCCATGTTCTGTACTGCAGAAGAGATGCTGCAAACTGATTTTTCAGTTATAGCTTAATACATAGGCCTAAAGAACATTCTGTTTGTTAAAACAAGTGCATGTGGGTAATCATTTTATCCTTGTCTAACTTTCTAAAACCGTCAAACTTTGCTATCTTATTTGCAGCTTAGCTGAAACAAAAAGAACGAAGAAACCAATGGTAGGACCACTTGCAGCACAACGAAATAAAGAAGACGTTTTACTCTTACTTATCAAAGAAAATCAAAGATTGTTCTCACAAAGTCCTAACAAAATTTTTTTGTGCGTTTAATAACCAGATTAAAAGAACTAAACATTATCATCTACCCTCCCAATTTCTTGACAAATAGAGAAGGGACAGATTAGCATATATGAAATTTCGGGTCAAAAGATAATAGAAAACTAGAGAAAAATAGAATTCAGTAGTCCATCTTCAAACAGAGGTTGCCAAAACCAGAAGATGAAAATCATATGATGAAATCTCGAAAGAAATTCATCCAAAAAAAAAAAAAAACCTTGTGTCAAGTTAAAACAGAAAGTTACATGTCATCACCGAGAACACCTCCATGGTTGTTCCTGTACAAATTATAGAGAAATTTCACACCTTCCCTTTGATGTTCCAGGAGTCTACAATTTACGGATGCAGGTACCTGATAAATGAAATACAAATGATGCTTAGTACAATTATAGTTCAAATTCCAAAATTATCACAGACAATAAATGAAGAAAACTTGTTATCAGAAAGAATCAGTGGAGCCAAAATGTAATTATGATTTATATTGAATTGGTAATGTGCTTACCATTCAAGAACTATTATAGAAAATTACCAAAAAATATGGTGATTTATGGTGAAAAGTAAGCACATATTCCAGTACTCATACAGAAATTACCTAAGTATAATACGGAGACTTTTAAAAAGTATAAATTAGCTAAACATAAGCCAATATGTTGATTTGGGAGTCGTGCAGAAGCGTACAAGAAGTTAGTGTATTAAAGATGAAAATCAAATACTTCTTTTTGAAGCAGTGATATCACAGAAATGTGGAGGAATTATTTCCTAATGTTATTCAATGAAAGACACAGTTTGAAAATTAGAAATTTCACGGTAGATAACAATGTTATGACAGAACCATAATACTTCTCCTTCTTCATCAATCATCATTCCCAAACTATCACCAACAACTCATGAACAATATATGAACAATGTTAAGGGATAAAATCCCTAATTGAATAAAGATGAAAACATAGACCAACATATAAGAGCTTGAGCTGCTTCTTTTAATAAAGTTGATCTTTTAAAATAAAATCCCAAGTTTTAATATCGTGTTAAAACCCATTAAACTCCAACGAGCAATTTGATCCAAATAAAACTCAAAAAATGACCACGCGAATTCCAAAATTTGTTTGCTCACCATCTTGCAAGGAATAAAATCTACATCCAATAAAGATAAAAATAGAGACAAACATATAAGGTTTGTGCTGCTCCTCTTAATTAGGTTAACATTTGACTAATCTCAGAAACAAATAACCGGTTGTCTATTCTCTGTTAACAATGTCAGCACTTTTGTCAATTCAAGAACGAGATTAAATAAAAATGAAAGTTCAGTTATTAATTTGAAATAAAAAGAGTTAAAGTAATCAAAGTGAAACAAAGCTGTAAGTTGGGCCACTAATAAATTGTCAAAACCTCTACATGTATATGTTAAAACGTACTTAACCAAAATAAATTAATAATTCATCATACAAAAGACACAGTTGCCACCACTATGAGCAGAATCAAGAAAAATCAAATTTTGACCAAATAAGCAGTCCAAAAGTCACCTGAATCACCGGAATTTCACCCTGCGGAGACAGAACTAGAGGCTCATAATTTCCCGTGTATTCAAACAGACGAAAGGACTCCAACTTGGATCGTCCAAAGTCATTTTCATTTTCCTTTTCTTCTTCTGAATTTTCAATTCGACCATCAAAACGTGCCTCTGGTTTTGGGAGCAACAAAGGGGTGTGTTCGAGGCGCAGAAGTTGCTGAGACAGTGAAGATTTAGGCGGTTTTCTAGGGATTATCGTGGAATCAGAAATTTGTGAAAAAGATGAAGAGGAGGAGCATGATAAATTGTTTGTGCAAGGTCTGAGGGTCTCTTTAAGAGCGTTGAATGACATGGAAAAATGTGGAATTCTTGAATTGCAGGAACTATTTACTGGTGTATTGTTTTCAAATTGGAGAAAGTATCAGCCTGTCTTCATTGTTTTACGAACTTATTTTAAACATTGCTATTTCTTCAGTGGAGTCCCCAACCTTTTAACAAAGATACAATCGAGTCACCTACCAAACTGAGCAAGCCGTTTAAGCCCTTGTTTGAGTTTTTCTAGAATAGACTTTATAAAAAGTGATATTTTTCTTAAGAATGTAAGAGGCGTTTTGAAATTATGTGTAAAATTCTTTATTGAAAATAAATTTTAAATAATGAAGTTCAAACAAGGACATATATATATTTTTACATTCATGATGGTATTAAACCGTTTGAATATTTATTTTATGACTAGTAAATATTGAGGCTCCTAGTTATATAATGTCTTAGAATAATGTTATTTCCAGTGAAAACTACCAACAGTCGCCTTATGTAGCGTACACTTGGCAGTTTTTAATTTGATTTATAATTCAAAAAATAACTACCATATCTATATATCAAATTGTCAAGTGTATGTCACATAGGGCGACTACTGACAGTCTTCACTACGAATAGTATTACTCAATGTCTTAACCTAGACAATCGTCCATCGTTCATGTCTATATGAATGTGCATGTACGTATTAGATATTAATTGTAACATAACCCAGATAGCGGTCCATAGTTGATGTTTACATGAATAAAGTTGAACAGTTTATTCTGTTTATGTTCTACCCTTTATTTGCATCGCACTTGAATGATGATTTATCTTGAGGGTACAAATTCAAATGGTCATAGACTTTGGAGGGCATTTCATTTGATGCGGTACATGTACTAGGAAAAAATTGAGAAAATGGTGAATTTCCTATAGTTATCGTACTTAAAAAAATCCATACATTATCATCAGAGAATGACAAAACTATAGTCTACGACAGTATAGAGTGAATATAAATTGCATAAATTTGAAACTTATTCTGGTTAAGCAAAATTAGTCCCTATTAATCAACGCCCATGTGCATATTGTTCCTTCTATTACTGGTAATGAAGTATCAATGGATAATCACACAATCTGCTGCATAGCTATCTAGTAATCGAACTACAAACTATATATTTTAAATGGAATTTCAATACTTCAGTACCATTTTAGTAATAACGTGTCTAGGGATATTAGTCTCAGTCAGATTAGCCAACCAACCCATTACGGAAAAAGAGGGTCGATACAAGTAGACTTGTTCCTTCCAAGTAGATAGCAATGATTGTTTTGAATATACGAGCAATATTCACACTCGTGGAGCCCTTAGCTAACAAGTCATCCATTTTTGTCTCACCCTTCCTCGCACATTGTTGCCTCTCAATGGAAACCAAGAGAGTTCAAGAAGGAACTTAGGGTTACACCATATAAGTGGGAATGGATCCAACACCTGGTGAGCCAGCGCGACCACCCATGCTGGATCCGCCAAGGAAAAATTTAATGAAGGTTTATGTTAAATATTTATCTATATATCTTTTGCGCAAAAAATCATCAAAACTGGCATGCCAAATGTGCGGCCGCATCCTCGCCTTTTACACTGACTAATTTTTAAACACAACAATTAAATATTAATAAAAGATTGTACTCACCTCCAGCAAAGCCAGGGCTACTTATATGGTAGATGAGTTTTTCTTAGTATGTAAAAGGTACGGGGTTCCATGCCATATCCATTCAC